GTAAACATATTTAAAATAACTTTTACAGCTTAACTCTGCCTTTTTTATTGTCATTATTGCTACATACACATTATTTCCGACGTTTCAAATTGCCTTACAATTTTCCTGGTCTCGGTCGACTGAGGTGTTGTTATTGACGCCGGTAAGATTAACGCCATATATCCCCGAATAGTTGAACGAATATAGAAGGATCTAGTAGCACCTAGAAGGCTCGAGAAGTACAACGCCATGTATTGTCAGATAGCGAACAATACTAGATATGTGTGGAATATTCTCGATAATTCTAGAGATGTGGTATCAGCTATAAAAGCGTTGCAGAGATAGCATGCAGTTAGTGAGTAATCGGAACTACTCGAAGCGAAACAGCGAACGGATCACCTGAAGCGAAGCGGAAGAAGCGAATTGATAGTTTTAAAGTGTTTGTAGAGTGTTTTAAGTGTTCTAAGTGTTGAATACAGTTTTTAGTTGTACTTTGGTGAAATTTTATTTATCCCGAATCCAGCGCGTAACCTTATTCCTATATATTATATATGTATATCTTTTTATATCCTATCCAGTCTTCAGCAACCCCAACTGGGAAAACATTGCAGTGAATACGGCGAAAATAAATGTAACATTAAGCCGTAGTACCGTTTTAGCAACGGCTACGACGAATGTATTCATAAACGTAAATAATATTCGAATTTTATTTGGATTTTGTGTACTAGTCGGGCGAATATGGTGTTAAATGCTTACAAGATGGCTCAACCATATTCTATAAATGGATTTTTCATTCTTCAAACCCGTAATGAATGACATTTTCGTTGCAAAAAAAGGCCAATTTGTTCTGGTTGAAATCATATTACAGTGAGTGTTGCCAATTTTTTGTACAGAAAAGAATGTTCATTTCCTTTTTGGTTTAGTCGTTATTTGTATGAAGATTCAAAAGCATTTTTTCAGCTGTAAATAAAATAAGATAACGATTAACTGAAATTACTGTGACATAGAAATAAGTACCTATCTGAAATATAATTCTGCAACCGTTTTTTTTATATCAAATTTACATTTTTCATTACCATTATTGATACAATATCTCATGATTCCTTCAGAATATTCCAAAACCGAAATTACCTTTACAACTAACCAGGGTTGCCCGATGTGGTTGTAATAATATTAAGCTATTTACCCCCAAAAGCGCCTGCTCGAATAATTTCCAAGTTATTACAGTGGAAAATTAGGAGAATAAGACAACTTGAGCGTGAAACGAAACGTGTCCGTATATAAACGTAGTCCTATTCAAATAAAGAACAGCCTTAACAACGTTTCGGTTTACGTTAATATTTGTTTTAGAGTTTTTCAAAGGCTTACACCGAATAACTTGTGTCGTATTCTTAGCACTGTCTTTTTTATTAGTATCCTTTTTTGGGCCTGGGCCCGAACCTCGATATGTACGACAGGCAAGTTTGTAGCAGCCACCCACTAAACAACTTCTCTGCAATTTCGCTCAAGCGCCCGTTAGGTATCCAATGTTTACTCGAGATAGAACCCGGAAAAGGTAGGGGACAATCGTGGTAACACGCCAACTCACTCCAAGGCCTTCCAAACGGCGGAGTCGTCGATGCGATTCGTCGACTTTTAGTCCGCTGTTTCGGTACGGCGGCATTTCAGGCCGCCTCTGGCGATGACGCTGGTATTCCGAAATACCCCATTGGACTAGACCCAGCCCAACTGGTCCGAACACAGCACAAGTAGACTGCGGCGCTCTAAGGTGGAGGTAGTGCACCACGCGGCCTCGACCCTCTCCGGCACCCCTGGATTTTCACCGGAACTGGAAAAAACCGCTACATTGACCTCTGGGCTCGGCGGCATCAGATCATTGCGGAAAGGAAAAGCTCTCCCTCCTCGTTCCGTCACTTCCTTTTGCGAGATTACTGGTGGTAGGACTTCTTGTGAGTCCGCATGGGTAGGTACCACCACCCTGCCTATTTCTGCCATGAAGCAATAATGCATTTCGGTTCGAAGAGTGGGGTAGACGTTGTACTGTAAAAACTGAGACCTTAGAACTCATATCAAGTTGGGTGGCAGGATTTACCTTGTAGAAGTCTATGGGCTCCGTTAACCACTTAGCACCAGGTGGGCTGTGAGCTCGTTCAACTATCTAAGCAATAAAAAAAAGATGGTGGGATCATAGAAGTAGAGTATAGCCATCGAAGATTCTTCGCTGTCGAGCATCTCTTTGATCCCGATGTGAGCGTCGACGGTTGGCATTTTCTTGGACCGTGCAACAACAGGGCCTGGGATTTGCTGAGCGCCACCTCTAGGCATAACCTTCAGATCATAAATGGAGATGGAGACAATCACCAGCTTCCAGACCTGCTTCTTTGACAGCTCCATTATCGTGCGGGCCATTATCAAAGGACCATTGAACCATCTCTCTCTTTGTCAAAACCAGAACTACACGTTTGCGGCCACTTTTCGAATCGACCGTGTATAGGTTTGTCTAACCTCTTATATTCTGTATTTTTTGGGATAATTACCAGTGGCAAATATTTACCATGGGATAAAGGAAACATTTCCTTCACTGAATATCGTCACAGAAGTGGTTACTCGCTAAATAGTGGTCGGTATTTGTTAGAATATAAATTTATTGTCGAAATATGATTATCGGAATATTTACGTTCATGTTATTATCTTATTAAAGTTAAAATATATGTTGAGTTAAAAGGCTGGATTGGCTAAAGTTTTCGATAGACACATATAAGTAATCTTAAGATCCTCATAAAATTTAAAAGGATCCAGATTATCTTGACTTTAGTTTTTTCGTATTTTATTAGTAAAATATTGCAGTAAAGTCTCCTGGGTTGTAATGTTTGTCTCTGGCTTATTTTGATATAATTAAATACGCGACATTATAAAAACAGAGCAAAAGTAAATACGGATTCCCGGTTTTTGTGCTCTTCGTCAAAATGATTCAATTTAACAAAGAAATGCGATACTTTTTGAAGCTTTATTAAAAAAGGGCCAAATTCGACACAAGCCGCATTTCTCACATTATAATAATATGTCTATTTTATATATTAGTACTAGATTAGATTAGATTATATTAGATTAACTCGGTGGTGCAGTACTTAGGGCCCCTGTCGGTTACGCCGAGGGCTGTGGGTTCGATAGGGTAAAAATTCGTATGATGAATCGGTTCGTTTGGTCTTTGTCTGGGTATTTATTATCTATACATATATAACTAGTCAGGTTATAAGTATTGTCACACAGTAAAAACTTTTCTTTTAGAATGCTGGCCATAAAAAAGATTATTGAATTCGAATTTCGAATTGTTCATGAAAATAAAAATGTATACTTTTAGAATTTTACTCATTTTTAAATATGGAGTGGACGCTTAAAGAAGACCGTGTTGCAGTTATTGCGTTGCATCGTTGCGGTTACGCGCCAATTAAAATTTTTAACATACTGAAAAATTTGAATATAACCAAAAGATTCGTTTATCGTACCATCAAACGATACAATGAAGACTCTAGTGTAGATGACAGGTCAAGAAGTGGTCGCCCTCGGTCTGTTAGGACTCCAGCAGTGATAAAAGCTGTGAAGGCGCGAATTCAAAGAAATCCCAAACGTAAGCAGAAACTGTTGGCCCTTCAGATGGGGTTAAGCAGAACCACGGTGAAAAGGGTGTTAAATGAAGACTTAGGGCTTCGGGCATATCGAAGAAAAACAGGACATCGTTTGAATGCTCGTCTAATGGACCTGAGACTGAAGAGATGCCGCGCTTTGTTGAAGCGGTACGCGGGAAAAAAATATCGGGAAATTCTTTTTTCGGATGAAAAAATTTTTACCGTAGAAGAGAGCTACAACAAACAAAATGATAAGGTGTACGCACACAGTAGTGAAGAAGCGAGCAACCGTATTCCGCGTGTCCAACGAGGTCATTTTCCATCCTCGCTCATGGTATGGTTGGGAGTTTCTTATTGGGGCTTAACAGAGGTACATTTTTGTGAGAAAGGTGTAAAAACGAATGCAGTTGTGTATCAAAATACAGTCCTGACGAACCTTGTGGAACCTGTTTCTCATACCATGTTCAATAACAGGCACTGGGTATTCCAACAAGATTCGGCGCCAGCTCATAGAGCGAAGAGCACACAAGACTGGCTGGCGGCGCGTGAAATCGACTTCATCCGGCACGAAGACTGGCCCTCCTCCAGTCCAGATTTGAATCCGTTAGATTACAAGATATGGCAACACTTGGAGGAAAAGGCGTGCTCAAAGCCTCATCCCAATTTGGAGTCACTCAAGACATCCTTGATTAAGGCAGCCGCCGATATTGACATGGACCACGTTCGTGCTGCGATAGACGACTGGCCGCGCAGATTGAAGGCCTGTATTCAAAATCACGGAGGTCATTTTGAATAAACTTTAGTGTCATAAGAATCTATGTTTTGTTAAGTTCATTTTGGTATATGAATGGTTACATAATGAATAAACTTGTTTCAATTATTTTACATTAAAAATGTGACAGAATTTATGATCTGACTAGGTTTATTTAAAGGTATATATACGTACGTCTCAGATACCCATAACACAGGGAATCCTAATTCAGGGTTGGATGTCCGTGTGTCCTTTGTTCAGTTATATGTATTACATTAGTTACATTTGTGGCTACCAGATTGTTTAAACTGAATGTCACTACCCAATTTCAGTATGATATGTTTTCTTTGAAAAGCACCAAGCCTTCTAAATAATTATGTGTGTATCATTAATTACTTCCATAGCAACATCCAGAATTTTCTCCGATAGGCGTTGAGTAACTTTCGGTTAGTAAGTTAATTTGACTATAGTATCTTCTTCGGTTTTCACGAGTCTTAGAATTTTAATTAATATTTGTATATATTATTTATGATTTTGATAATAATTATTAATCTAAAACATAAAGTCTTATATATAAATGGACGGTATACGATTTAAAATCAAAGAAAGTACTAGAAGCTCAATTTAAACATCATTTAATTATTTCATTTTCCTGCGTCGATCGTCATAACATAGCTCTCAGGTTCGTAATCAAAATCCAGGGTCCTTGATCTTACAATTTCTTTGAATACAAAGGCGGATTTTCTCGGTGTCCGTGTGCGTTCTGGACTGTCGTAATCAACTTCATAAAATCCGAATCTTTGCCTGGAAATGTAAAACCACATTATCAGACTATACAATATTATTAATGTTAGTAGTAGTATTTACTGCAAATAACAAAATGAGCTTAAGGACTTCGCGATCTTGAACAATTATAATCCTCGTAACGAAGTGCATATTGTTATTATGATAATTTTTTATTGCTTTTATAGACAGTCGAGTATACGGCCCCCCACCTGGGGATCAGTGGAACGCCAGGGGTATATAGTATTATAGCCATGTCTTGTTTGAATAAGGACGTATCATAGAACTCATGAAACACAAGGGCGAAAAGTACAAATAGTTCCTGAGAGCACTGCTTATGCAATATAGAGTATAGAACATAAAAAGAACCAAGGTCCCTCCGTAGAGAGGGTGGATCCAAAGGATCTGTGGGGACGGGATTCTCGACAATCTGAACAGCCTTCAGTCCAGTGACAGGTTCAGTACTCCACTCGAAGCTGAACCTGTGCTTGTGTAGATATAAATCGGTGTCAACATTTTATCTAACGATCAGCATTCCTACTTATAGTTAATCATATCAATACTTAATCCATTCATTTCGACTGAGTTATAGAGTGATTGCTAATATGGCATAATACGTCTTCATAAAATCGTTTATATAGTTGCAGGGTCTTGTACCACGACTTCCTGTGCAGCTAAAAAAATTATTACAATAGATGTAGTATTCGCTAATTTCACAGAAGGTTCATGAGAGTACTTACGTGTAACCATTCATCCATTCAAAATTATCCATCAAACTCCAAGAAGTGTAGAGTCTGATATCGGATCCATCTTCAATAGCATCAAGAACAGCGTTCAAGTACAACCTAAGATGCGTGATTCGGTCGTTGTCTTCTAAGCCGGGCAGGGTCGCGAAGCCGTTTTCAGTGATGATAATCGGTACGTTATTGTAAAAATTCGAAATTTGTCTCAAAAGTTTGTAGAAGCCCCATGGTGTGGTCTATCAAGTGATATACGAACAGGTTCGTTAATTACATCAAAAACTATAGAAGCATACTATAGAAGCACTTTAAAGACTCATATCGTACTTTGAATAAGTTTTAATATTTTTGGGATTCATAATCATAAGTCAATCGTAGACTTAGTTACAAAGTTTATTTTGGTTTAGATGACATCGTTGCTGCGCTCACGGTTATTTTATAGTAACATGACAAAGGGCAATCTAGAAATTGTTTGGTGTACAAAACGCGTCTTCTAATGGCCAAAGTGGAATTACAAACTGAATTGGCTTAGTATATTGGATTTCCTAACTTACTGCATACATTTTACTTAAATACTTTAAAATTATGAGCCAGAACCCGTCACGTCGTGTATACGTACCGATGTAATTGAAACTATAATCTTATGTACATAGGGATTTACCTTGTGGTGTATATAGGGCTTAGAAGGAATATAAATACAAGCTATTGGAAGAAGAGCAAGTAGTTTTCAAGCAATGAGATTACCTTAATTCTGTTATGCGTACCAATAGCCCATTCATCCTTAGCATAATAGATTACTCCAGCGTCATCAAAATAAGAAGGTACTTCGTAGCGGCCCACTACTGATTCGTTTCTATACGCCAAATAAGTCGAATAATGATTGACACCAAAAAAGTCTGATGTTCCACGGATGTATTGAACTTCTTCAGGACTTAGCTCTGGAAAACGTGAGCGTAAGAAACCTTGTTCAGCACTCTTAGCTGCTACACGTTGTTTGACTATTTCGGGATAGTCACCGCTGTCAGTGAATATAGGGTGACCGTACTGACCCCACTGTAAAAGCATTTTAATATTTACTGTTTTAATGAGTAGAATGAAAATAAATATTGGTCTCGCGAAGGGTTGTGAAACTGTAGGCGACATCAAGTTTTCGATGAATTTATATAAAGCATTATTAAGGACATTGTAGGTATACAAGAATACGGCCCACCTAATGATCAGTAATCTTTAGCAATTCAGCAAATTAGTGGACATCGGCAATGCCAGAGATACAGCCAAGCCGCTGTCTGTCTATAGTAATCCAATTCTTAACTCGATCACCAAATTTTTGGAACAGAACTCTAGCGTAGTCCGCATACCAATCGATAATATATGGGTTCGTCCAACCTCCCATATCCTGCAATTTCTGTGGTAAGTCCCAGTGGTAAATTGTGAGCATCGGCTTAATATTGTGTTTGAGTAATTCGTCAATCAGATTATTGTAATAAGCAACTCCAGCTTCATTTATGTAATCTGGGAAACTCGTGGGTAAAATACGAGTCCAGGACACAGAGAATCTGTAATAATCAATACCAAGTTCTCTTATCATTTCAACATCTCGTTTGTAAAGGTTATATGAATCATTTGCGATGTCTCCTGTAGAGTTGTCAGCCATGGGACTGGGTTCTTTGTGGCAAATATGATCCCAAATGTTTTCAGTCTTTCCTGCAAACAGCATTTAAATTAAGTTTATTTATTAAATTTAAATTAACAGCTTAAACGTACCTTGATTAAGAGGCTTAAATGTAATTATAATACATTTACCATCAACATTCCAAGCGCCTTCTATTTGGTATGACGCAGTTGCAGTACTGAACATAAACCCTTCAGGAAATCTGCGTGGATTATGGCAAACACACACTCCAATTGCACTCGTTAGAATGCCAAAGGATAACAGTAAAGATCTATAAACGAAAAAAATTGATACATAGGCTTACTACAAAGGAACAACATAATAAAATATTAGAGAATTTCTCAGTTTGACAATAGACACTTAAATCAGTGTAATAAATAATAGTAAACTTACAACAAATTAGCGAATGGTAAACGCAGCATTGTTTGTCGTTCAAATATAATCCAACGCTCTCACTGCGCAATTTATAGAAAACGAAATTTATCTTTCTGATAGATTATCAGACGATTTTATAGAAGAAATTGTTACAAAAGATAAAAAACTACAAGATAGATCACACTTATCATCCAGTTAGAGATCAAAAAACGTCACTAAAGTCTTATGTAATATTTTGTTAGAATTTGATACAAATCAGTAGAGATCAAATTGCCACGATGCTTTTAGTCGGCGTAGATGAGCACCCCAGTCCGCTCTGAGATAAGCTGTTACAGGGTTGATAGAGAATTAATAGAATTAATAGAGAAATACACAGTGTGAATGCCAGTTTGAGACGTGAAGTTGAACTGTTAATGACACTGGAATAATCGGTAGCTTTTTCTCTTTCAATGTGTTTGTATAAGGATGTTTTCAATGTTAAGGACATATCCAAGTTGCTGTTTATCGAGAAGTGCTCTTTTTTTAAACATTGTTTGAAGAAGTACCTGATGCTTTGGGAGCACTAGAAAAGTGGAACTTATATTAAAACGAATGATATATGTATTATAAAATTAGTCTATTAAAAAGCCCTGTAGTATGCAACGGCTATTGGTAAATGTGTGGGCTCGAAAAGTGTGTAGCTTCGAATGAAATTTTCTATCACATTCTTTATCGAAAAGGTTCAGGAAGACGAAACTTACAGCGAAAGCTCTAGCCCTTGCATTTCAAGTTTTCAGCCCAATCCGAGTAAGGTATAGAAGTAGATCTGACTTTGATTGTTTTGAAGTTGATAAGCGCCTGGAGACAAATACAATAATACTCTTAGTAAATTACCTTTACACTACTTACTACTACTACTATAAGTACTACCAAAGATCCCCTGTTGCATTGTCGTTTTTCAGGACAACTATTTTTAAGGAAAAATAAGTATTCAGTGGCATGGAACTCCTTGGGCCCGCGGTCTGCTCCCAACGCGCGGGCGCCTCTTTAAGTGCGGGGACCTCGTAGGAGGTTCGGCGTAGGCACGAAAAAAAAAGTTATGGCTTGAATCAAAACTTTTTTGTCAATTTTATTAAGCTCGTCACTGAAAGTAATGGGGAAAAGAAAGAATAAAGAATTACGTAAACCGTAATCGTGTAATGTAGATGTAGAGGTTTTTCTTAAAAAAAAAAAAAATACATGTGTGCAATTCACACGTGGTAGAAGTGAAACCTTTCAAAATTAAAATACAATTATCCTAAACGTCTTAAAATTTTGTCATTAGTAAATAATTGTAAGGTAGCGCCCTCTGTGAATTGATATTTTAATTTCACGTATAATCCTCAATTAAAATTCACTACAAGAGCTTTCATACACACGTTAGTATTAAAAAAATCTCACAGATGGCGCTGTATTAAATAGTATGTATATTTTTGTCTCATTCTTTTGTATTTGTGTCTCTTACCTGTCGTTTTTTCCGTTGCATCCGGTTTGAAATCACAACGATTCTAAAGAAGTTTTCACTTCAAAAAAACTCTCGCTATGCTAAAACCTGTACTTTGCTATGTATTAATATAGTTAGTAGTAGTATGTGTGTAATGTATAATATGTAAGTAAATTTTGAAGAGACACCCTCTTCAAAATTTTAACCAAATTACGAAAACAACTAGAAAAACTTGAATGAATTGTTTGGAATTTTTAAAGCATTGTCACATTTTATGAAGAATTATGATGTGATGCGAATTATGAGATTATGATCCATGGTGACATTACAGGGCTAATGGTTGTAGGGCGNTAGTATGTGTGTAATGTATAATATGTAAGTAAATTTTGAAGAGACACCCTCTTCAAAATTTTAACCAAATTACGAAAACAACTAGAAAAACTTGAATGAATTGTTTGGAATTTTTAAAGCATTGTCACATTTTATGAAGAATTATGATGTGATGCGAATTATGAGATTATGATCCATGGTGACATTACAGGGCTAATGGTTGTAGGGCATATTGTGAGCTTGCAAGAATAGCTACAATCATCATTCCAGTTTCAACTACAAAATAGTAATGTTTAAAATAGTAATGTTTTTGAAGATCGGGATTAACCACTAGCTTTCCACTTGCTTGTTTTTTCTGTGTCAAACACACTTTATGGTTGGAAACCCGCGATATTCAATTTCTGTCTCCAAGACTTTGCTAATTAGAACAATGTAAAAGGTCCTACTGTAGTTCATATAGATGACGACCATTTGGTCACCTTTGTTTTTTTATTTATTTTATTGACAGCTGCTGTTAAGTGATCACCGGAACCCATCGACGTATCACAACGTCGATGCCGCTACGCACGTTGAGATGAGTACATTAACTACCAATGTTCTTCATTAACTTTCTGCACTCCTAATATTCACAATATAAACTTAATTTGAATATATTAATAATTTATAATTAACTTCACACAATTTAAAAGAGACGGGTGCCACTTACGCTTACGACCAGTTACAATCACACCTGTCTTAATAATACTTCGAGTGAATTACGTGTCACACAATGATACGATTTCGAAACAGATTTGTTAATATAAATTTTATTTTAGGTTAAAATCGAGATATAAATACTATACTATAATTATTATGCTATATAGTTATATATAATTATGTACTGGTAATACTGGAAGCCTAGCCTAGTAAATATTATAGGTGTGGTTATGCAACTACACGGTGGTTTTGTTTTCTTGAATGAATTCCATGCCGAGGGCAATAATTGTAGTAATCAAATCCGCAAATTATACAAAATGTTATTACTGGCGTGTTTTGTGTGGGAAGAACGTGGTCCACCGTATTGGCTGAGAGGACAAAAACACAAGAAAATAATCTCATCTTTCTAATCTACGAGCGACCCGCCCTCGCTTCGCTTCGGAAACATTAAAACTCACATGAAACCAAAAAAATAAAATAAAAAAAAATTAAAAAAAAAGTAGCCTATGTTCATCAGGGACAATGTCGGCTTCTAATGGAAAAAGAATTTTTCAAATCGGTCCAGTAGTTTCGGAGCCTATTCGAAACAAACAAACAAACAAATCTTTCCTCTTTATAATATTAGTATAGAAGTATAGATAACTAATGTAATTCTGAGATAACTCTGTATCTGATTACTTTACAAACACTCGCCAAACTGCATCTTATGAGTCGGGGGTTAGCAGAGCGACGCTATCGAAGGCCAGATCGTCGACTAACGCGGCGAGGCGTCTATCGATGTGGGTTGTGGTATGAGAATTACATCTGATGTGTTTACAATTTAGGTCGTTCGACAGAATGAAAGAGCTTCCAATCTCGAACGATCTTAGCAGGTGGATGATAAACAGACGCGATGATGATCGCCGCGTATCCCGTCAGTGAGTATCGGCAGACTGATAATTAGACGATAGGGAGCGCGGCGGGATCGAGCGGGACGCAATACAGGGCTCTTCTATAGCATATAATGGTACCAAAACTGCGATGAGCCCGCCATTCCTAACTATGTTAAAATTCGCGATTTTAAGGTCGCGACGCGCGAGCTTAAGGAAGGCCTGCTATACTAGAAAAGTGTCAATTTAATGGTCACGAAAAAAATCATAAACCTGATCATGTTGATTCGCGAAACCGTAAGCGTTAAAAAATCCTATCGTTACGGATATGGGTTTTATTCTACCTTGGTACTCCATTGATAACCGGCGAGTTAGGGGAGGAGGTAGGAATTGAACGGCTTGTATATATCGGCGTATTCTTGCACAACTGCAATGAGGCGCTGTGCAGTGGAAGTGGTTCGGATGGCGTCGCCTAAAGCGTTAACTCGCTAGAACGAGATTGTCGGACGCGGTCGGAAGGCAACTTGCGGGGGAGGGATGAATCGTGAGAGAGAGGCGAGTTATAAGGGGAGTTGCAGCTTTGTTCGTGTATGGTAGCTGCTTAGCCTAGGGTGAGACGCTGGGCACGGGCTTCGAGGGCGATACCGGAGAAACCACAGACGGTCCGTATTGTTACTCTCGGGGGTAGGCTGGGGGGCGACAAGAACCATACCATTTATATGGCTCCTTGCTGCGACATGCTGTGCATGCGGTGCACGGAAATTATCGATAAGCCTTGTTCTAGCAGGTCGGCCTCGAAGAGCTCATGATCTAGATCTTTCGGTATTCTGCGTATTGCAGAGTTCGCGCTCCTCCTGGAGCATAAAAGTGTGGAAACTAATAAGCTCCTTACGTTGTATTTCGTTCAAAAATGGTCATTTATCGCTCTGTCTGCGGAATTTTTAGATAACTATATTTATCGTTCTGATACATTATCATGTGATTTTACTGAAGTGGATGCTGTAACAGTTTAAAAACCCCACCTGTGGTGTTCGAATTATCAATTGGTAAAATTGATTATCTAGATCTGTAGGTATCTGAAATGAAAAAATAAAACTTATATAAGATGAACTTAATATTTGATTTTAACTCAATAAGCATCAGTGGGGAACAACTTGCCATAATTCTTTTGTTCCTGGTAGACGATCAGTAGAGCTCTCAGTCCGCTCTAAGATAAGCAGTTACAGAGTTATCAGATAGCATAATGTGAGCGCTAATTTGAGGCATGAAGTTGAAGTGTTAATGACACCGGTATAATCGGCAGCTTTTTCTTTTTCTATGCGGTTACTCAAGGAAGTTTTCAGTGTTAAGAGCACCTCCAAGATGCTGTTTATCGAGAAGTGTTATTTTTTAGACCTTGTGTTGACAGATACCACAGTATGACACGCCAATTTGGGATCTTACGTTGAAGTGTCAATGTCACCGACATCATGGGTGACCTCAACAGTATAGACACTCGGCTTAGTAGATATATTGTGTTGGAAATGAATCGAAAGCTAC